AAGTATTTTGATAGCAGAATTAGGAGAAAGGGGAAGGAAGACTCGGTCAAACTAGCAATCCACGGGATGCCTGAGGAAGGTGTAATTAGGACGACGAAAAGAAGCAAAGATTAGGTTAATTAATACCATATCGTATTAGTTAGTATTGTAAGTATATATCGATTTTTGTATTAAATCAAAATAATATATGATTTAATTTTATTTTAATCAAATTTTATCTGTTTCAATCAAATTTTGATGTGTCCACCGATATATGAAAATTATCTAGTATAACTCAATTTAAATTTAAAAAAGGTAAATTTTATTTTTGATCTTTAATTTTAATATTTTACATAATTTTCATCATTTAATTTTTTATGTATTTTTTTAATCCATCAACTATGACAAATATATTTTTTTAGTCCTTTTATCAATTATTCCATTAAATTTGTTGAATTATAAATATTTTTAGTCCCCTAACTTAAAGTGAATGGATGAAAAAATATGGATATATTAAAAGTTTAGGACTAAAAATGATCATTTTAAACGTGTTTTCAATTTATAAAAATAAAATGATTTTAAACATTAGTATCTTATCTTATTTTAAAATTTGATATTTAATTTATAAAAATATATATTTATAGCGATAAATCAAAATAGTACACGAAAAATTTTGATATCTAATACATATCATTTCAGTAATAAAACCGATGCACATGTCGATACGGTATTAACAATTTTGTTTGTAGTCCCCAGCCATCCATAACCTATACTAAAAATTGCATAAACAGTAATTATACAGAGGATATATCAGTACTTTAAAAAAAATCCTAAAAACAAATTATCATTTTTTGGTATAGACCACCTGATTTTTGAAAAGTTATTGGATTACCAATTAATCCGAATTTAAATCGAATAAAACCAACGATCGACAAGCTCTTCTTCACAAATTTTAACATAATTATATTATTAACGTTTGGAATCAAAACTTTTGATTAAATTAAAAAAATCCATACTAACTCATCCTCCAACCCATCCACTCACTCGGGGTAAAAAAAAAATACGAACCATCATGGCAAAACCAAAAAGTGCGCGTAAATATTATTGAACATATCCAAAATGGACTGTACACATAATCATTCCTTCAGCATTTATTTGCAAAACGCTACGAAGAGGCAATCCCAATCGTGTTCCTGTTGCCCACTGCAATTTACAGAAATTTGGACTTATTCCGATGCCCATAACCTCACACCCATCCTAAAAATCTAAAATCCTGGACATTCGCACTCAGGGAAGGAAAAAGAATTCTGTAGACGTCTTCCCCAAATTTAAGAAAACATTAAAACTGGAAAATATATTTACAATTTGAGGATAAAAGTTTTCCATGATCATGAACCATTCAAGGCAGCTGTTAGGTGCCCAACTTTCAGCCCCACCTTTCTCACAAAATCATCTCTGCAATGGTATGGATTCGTCGGCCTAGCCTCAAATCCAACTGCAGTTCTTAACGACATATTAATTGATTTGGGTGACTTGGAATTGCTAGAAATTTCATTGGTTGTCCTTTTATAAGTAGCGAACCACTTGGACTGCATGTAGCTGTTCCGCCTCCAAGGAGGAACATGCATGTCCTGTCTCTTCATAGATTTTCTAATTGCAGTGCACATCAATCTCACTATCTGCTTCAGTTCTTCAGCTTTCCCGACAAAAATCCGTGGGAAGATGTCAATCAGCGACATATAGCCAGATGTTGGCCGGAAATTTTCGAATTCCGTTGCTAGATTTACTTCAACAATATAACGTTCTCCATCAATAATCACATCTACATATTCATAAACCCCTGCAGGATGCCGCTCGGTTTTCTCCCACTTGGATTTGCACAAACCTACATAAAGGAAATCTATTTAAGTCAATTAATGAAGCTATTCTCTTAAGTTCTGTGCTTAAATAATTGAATCTGAACTACATACATTTACACTAATTTTGTTATGCATATAGAAAAAATTGTAAAGTTAATTAAAATAGAAGAGAAGAAATACCGACCAGCATCAAAGCCGCTATCACGTAAACTTGACATTAGCCGACGTTTGAAGTCTGGCGACGAGCTTCCGTCGCATATTCTCTGGCATACAATTTCCGTCGCCGCGTAAAGCCTCTGCTTTACTTCCTCATCTTTATCACCATTCGGGAAAATTTTCCCCATCAAATCCTCCAATTTTTCCTTTGTCTCCGACTCCAACCAATCGGATTCTTCACTGATGTTTTCGTTCTCCTCCTGCTCACCATTTACATTTCCACATTCCTTCTCAATATAAGAATTCACAAGATCTGAAAGATCAGCAGCCGGAGAATGCTCACTCCCACTGCTCTCGCACAGCCGCACCGCCACAGCCCTCGCCGCAGCCTCATTGAACGCCGCTGCCAGCCTATCAAACCTCACCGGAATCCTCATCACCACCTTAATTTTGCCCCCAACTTACTCAGTTCTAGCTCTTTTGATCGAAAATGATTGAAATGAAGGAGATATATATAACTACGATTGATTCGGGTTATATAGAGAATATGCTGTGGAGTCGATCCAGGAAGTGGGAGGCAATATACGGAAAGATAAGAACAGACGGAGTAATAACAACGGAGGCCGTGAAAGGCGTTAGATAGCTGACGGTTTTGGGAGCAGGATGTAGGTAGTCTTTATACTGCACTTCATAGATGAATTTGGCCGGTTTTATGGGAAGGTTCAATTTGATGCATTAGAAGATTAATGGATAATGGCAAAGGCGAATTCTTATTCGTATTCTATACATTATTTTTTTATTAATAATATTTTAAATTAATTTTTATCTTAACCATCATTTTTTATAATTTAAAATTTATAAAAAATTATAAATTATCAATAAAATCATGATATAAATAAAAGGTTTGACCTTAAAATCAAGATATAAATAAAAAATTTGACTATAAACTTTTAATTTTTCACATATTTCAATTA